TGATTTTGTCGGCCGTAGAGAGATTCATTTAAAATTCTACTGACACGTCGTTGCAAAACATTCTGCTTCGCGAAGCTTAATTCCACAAGATCTCCTCAGTCACATCAATGTCTAAATGTTTTCTTTCTTACAGTCTCAATTCTTGCTGTTTCATTTGTGCGTATTCCTTTCACAATTATCTGAGCTTGTATGGAAGCTGGCAGAAGAAATAAGCCTTCAATCGGCATCAAAGCGCTTCCCATCATTTGCTCCTCCGGCCAACGGCAATAAAAGTAACGCCAAAAAATCCCGATTTTGCCAAAATCGAAACCTAACGGGAACAATATATCATTGATCTGTAATCCTGAGATGTTTTAGTGTAGTATTGAACTCGGCCAAGCGCGATACAAACGGATTTTTCAAGGTTCTCCTCCCATCTTTTGATTTCGCGACATCGTGTCCCAAAATCAAAGTTTGGTGCATGCGCAGTAACGGGATACTGTTCCTTTAAGTTTGTCTGAATGAGTTTGGATCGTCCAAAACGTTTTATCCGTCTGCTTCAGACAGATAGAACGTCTGAAGATTGTCTCCGTATCATGCAACGAACTAAACCAATAAATATAAAATTTAAAATATAATAAATGTATAGAGCGGTTTTCATTTGAGTGTCGAAAAGTAATTGGTTTTGCACTTTCTACACGATGCGATTGGCTTAAAAGATTCGCGCCACCTTTTCATCCAATCAGAAGTAAAACCAAAGCCAATTGTGACGATTGCGTCAGCCACATGTAATTACTTCGAGTTTTGATTGGTTCAATGTATTGTCTGTGTCCTATGTGATTGGCCAGAGTAATTACTTTGGTTTTGGTTTTACGACACTCAAACGAAAACCACTCTATGTACCCTTCTCGGGATTAAGTTTATTACTCATCTTTAAATTGCTTTATTGGTCTGATTCAGTTGCTTGGTTCGACCATCGACGCGTCCTAAGTTCGACGTCTCACGCAACAGACGATTTTAACTTAATTTAGGTCGGCCCAAATTAGAGTTTGGTTCGTCTCATTTAAAAGTTCGACGCTTGGCCTAGGCCTTAGCTGTCTCATAAATGTTATGTTAAGATGAATAAATTAGTTAACGTACAGCACCAACTGCTAATTGAGAAAGAGGGCCAGGCCGAAACTCGCCATATAATAGGCTGATTTGGCAACAGAATGGGAACGTCAGTTGACGACGGCGCGCACAAATCAAACAACTGGCTTGACCAATGGCAGACGACAAATTGGGCACCGGAAGTCGAGTTTAGCCGTTTTCGCGCGCTTTCCCGTCGTCAAATAACGTTCGCGTTCTGTTGCTTAATCAGTCTAATATAGGCTATAAGGGGAATCTCCTCACGAAATGAGTACCTTTTTCGCCCTTCAGGTAAATGAAAGGGCAGAATTTCACTAGCTGAAGTTTTAAATGGGTAGGGAAAATTGTCAAATGGGTTTGTTGAATAAAGTACCTACTGAAAGGGCTAAGGGACGAAGAGACGCATTTTATGGCTGTGAAAAAAACAAGAAAACTTTCTGGCGTAGTGACTTATTTGTATTTAAAAGGCAGCACAGTTAAAGCAGTTAAAGGAGAACGAAATGTATATTTTTAATAGCCAATGCCAGGAAATTATACAATAGAACCCGGTAACTCGAACTCTGAAGGGAAACCAAAAAAAAATTTCCGAGTTAGCGAGGGTTTGAGTTGTATCGGGGTTGATTGAATTTTCAATTCATTGTTTCAGTAATTCATATTGATAGTTCCTGATGTTTAAGCACTTCAGTGTGTATAGTACAGTGTTAATTGACTTACTGTATTTCATTAAAAAAGGGACATGATAATGCATTCTCATGATAAAGCGTGATATGTTTGTTGCACCAATTGAAATCAAATTTCTGTAGGGTTAGTTTTGACGTTTTTTACCGATATACAACAGGAAACGCTAATGAGATGGCATCCGAGTGGGGTAACAAGAACCACAATTCGAGTTATCGGGGTAAATTTCAGTGAAATTTTTATCCAGGGAAAGGAGATGTAGTTCGAGTTAATGGGGAATTCGAATTAATCTGAGTTTGAGTTAACCGAGTAAAAATGACTGAAAAAGGGGATGAAATCCAAAGGAAATTGAACTTAATTCCAGATATCCGAGGTTCTACTGTAACAACGACCAACATTTCGCTGACGTCTTTCTTTTAATTGGCCATCCTGCTGGGCGAGCGAGGAGACCGCGATCCTTTTCCAGATCGTGCTTTTAAAGAATCCACATAGTCGCCGATAGTAGGAACAGCCTGGCCTGACCGGAAGCAGGGAAAACACACAAAAAACTGACTTACACGATGGTCGGTTGCTAGGGCTTTTCCTTCAATTTTTGGCTCACAGAGCAAATGTATTTTATATTCTAAATGAAGCAAGACGTTAAAACATCTTAATTAGAGAAAAATTTTCTCGAAATTTTTACCATTGTAAAGGTATTTTTGACGTTTCTTGAAAGTATGACGTCATAAGTGACGCCTATTTTAAGTAACAACATTAAAAACTTGCAAAGCAGTGTTCAAACCATTACAAACATTTTTGCTACACAAAAAGAATATGTATAGTGAAAACCCCATCTCAATCGGATAAAATGGTGTAAAGTTACAGCTAATAAAAGAAATCAAATTTCCCCCCACATGACCATATATGGTCAAAATTAGGGGGATTTTAAACGCGAGAACAATGAATGTATTGTCACAGAAGCAAGGAAAAAGTTGCATAAAATCAAAATTGATGTTTTTTCTACTTTTTTTTTACTTATGTGCTGCTATGACGCGTTTTCGTCACGAAATACGTCATTGTGACTTCAAAATGACGTATTGCGTGACGAAAAACGTGTCATAGTACCACATACCCTAAGTAGAAAAAACTACAATTTTGATTTTATGTAACTTTGTCGTTGCTCCTGTTCCAATACATTCAATGTTCTCGCGTTTAAAATACCCCTAATTTCGACCATATGTGGTTATTCGGGGGAAATTTTAATTTCTTTAATTAGCTGTAACTTTAGTCCTTTTTATCCGATTGAGATGTAGTCTGCTACACAGCCGTTTTTAGTGTCGTCACGCAATGTGCCTCCCCACTAACGGCTGCTGAAAATCAAACCACATTCCTTTCCCGCGGTTAGCCAATTAGAATTCAGCTCCCATTTTCTGGAAGGTGTTCGCGCCACGTTTGGGGTATGGTGACTCCTCCAATCACAGCTTTGCTTTTAACGTTGCCCAATGTGTGAATGATAGAACTATCAAAATCGTCACGTGAAAACAAGCAATCAACTAGAGTAGTGTTGTAGTTGTCGAGCCCTTTCAAAATTTTTGAGATAAGCAGCAACAGCAAGCAAGTTGAGCAAATTTGATACTCAACATGGATGTGCTTATAAAGTTGCTGCGTATAGTTTCGGCAAATCGCCTCTCGATAATTTATGAGATTGTTTTTGTTTGAATCAGTACCCCTGAGAGTTTAGTCTTCACAGTCTTCACATGTGCAACAACATAATGAGCACATCCGGCACATGAAATTCATCATACATATGCACGTTAATAAGAACCAACCGATCCTGGTCTTGTAAGAGTCTTGTAGGCTTATATCAAACCTTTTTTGTTTTTCACTTGGAATTTTGTTAACCGCTTAAAACAAACTTTCTTGCAAACAACCTTTTCATTGCTTGCAGACACAGAGCCCATCAAAATTCCGCGACGATTGATTGGTTTGTCGAAAACTGAGAAGCGTGTTCGCTCCTAGCACCCTGCGGCTCACGTATTGTCAAGTTTCTTATACATGATTGGTTTGTTCGATAGACCACAAACACAAAGGGAAAGGAATATGGTTCGATTTTCAGCAGCCGTTAGTGGGGATGAGCGTTGCGTGACGACACTAAAAACGGCTGTGTAGCAGACTAATTGAGATGGGGTTTTCACTAGAAATCACAGAATTCTATACAGAAAACTAATGTAAAAATTTTACCATTTCTTTGCTGAATTTTTGTTCGGATGCCAAATTTGGACATCATTTATGACGTCACAACAGAAGTTACATGGGATGAAAGAAAAACCAATAAACAGGAAATTTATCAAACTACTTCCCTGTCAAGCTTCGTTACATTCGATGCATTCTACTTCTGTCTATGGCCTAAAACTCTCAGTTTTGAGAGGTATTTGGGAGGAAAAGCCCTAGCAACCGACCACCTGTTACTTATCACACCAACGTATTTATAGTAAATTTCATACGCGGTATATCTGTGTCGTCAACAACTATAAAACTGATATCGATGAAGTTCTTTTCAAGAGAAGGATCCCGGATAACGAAGTTGCCGAGTGGTGACTAATTATGAACTTTTCGGTCAAGTTTCTGACAGACATTTGTAAGCTGAAGAGCGCACCTTTTTTTGGAGGTGTGCAAGGACCAGGATTTGCTTCCTCTTAATTGATTATTTAATCAAAACTAAGGTTTATTTATTTTATTTTAAGCCATGACCGCTTCTTACGTAGGATTACAGCATTATATTCATTTTAATATAAAATTCATAGTACCGTCATTACAATACAAGATATCTTTATCTTTTATAACAATACAGTTTAAGTTGAACAAGAACACTTTTATAAGATAGGTAATTAAAAATAGGTATAATATAGAAGGATCAAAACAGTGATTGGTGAGGAGACCTCACAAAGCCAAAGGCTTGTACAAGGGGGTCCCCTAATGATATGGTCATTGATTGAAATAATTTAGGACGAGGGGGCACAAGAATACGAGAGTCTTTAGTCAGTTTCAAAGGTACAAGAAAGAAACAGAAGACGCCTGAGACGAATAATGGAAGGGAATTCCAAATTTTGTGGACCCAAGTATAAAAAAGTAAACATGATGATGATTTCACAGGTTTTTTTGATATATTTTGTCCAAAATCCTCTTTGCTTCAGTTATTGCACAAAACCCTCTTAAAAAAACACTTACTCCTTAACAGGTCTACAATGGCGAAACGTATCACGACACTAGAGGACATTAACAAAGAGGTGGCTATTGCTCAGGAGTTAGGTGACAAAGCCCGAGAAGGAAGGGCCTATAATATTTTCGGGTCCATTTATCTAAAGCTGGGGGACTATCAGAAAGCCATTCAGTATCACAGCAAAGATTTGTCTATTGCCAAAGAAACGGGAAGTCGTGCCGGTGAAGGACGGGCCTATTGCAACTTGGGCAACGTGTATTTTTTCCTGGCTAAGTACCAGGAAGCCATTGATTGCCACAACAAACATCTTGCGATTGCTAAGGAAATTGGAGACAGGGTTGGGGAGGCAAAGGCGTATGCCGGTTTAGGCAACGCTTATATCAGTCACGGCAAAATACAAGAGGCCATAGAGTGCTACAAAAACGTTCTGTCCATTGCAGTCGATGTGGGGGACAGGAATCTAGAAGGGCGAGCGTATAATAATCTCGGTGCTGCTTATCATAAGCAAGGAAAATTCTGGGAAGCCATAGAGTACCACCAGAAAAGTCTAACCTTTGCCACTGAGGAAGGCAACCAAGCTGGACAGGGCAGAGCCTATTGTAATCTTGGAGCTGCTTATCAAAGCCTCGGCAATTACAAGAGAGCAGTGGAGCATCATGAGAAATACCTTTCTATTAGTAAAGAAACTGGAGATCGTGCCGCAGAGGGACGGGCTTTTGGCAACCTCGGCACTGATTGTCATTGTCTCGGAAAAGTCGAAGAGGCCTTGGACTATTACATGCAACGACTCTCTATTGCCAAAGAGCTGAAGGACAAGGTTGGGGAAGGAAGCGCCTATTGCAATATTGGCAACGCGTATCAAGATTTCGGAAAATTTGAGGAAGCCATCAATAACCACCGAAAACACCAGTCAATTGCAAAAGAAATCGGCGACAGGATTCAGGAGGGAATGTCCTATTGTAATCTAGGCGTCGCTTACAAAAGCCTAGGTGATTTTCAAAAGGCCAAGGAGTGCCACGAACAGGATCTTCAGATTGCCAAAGAAGTGGGAAATGCGGCCAGTGAAGGAAGGGCGTATTGCAACCTTGGGTGCGTTTCTAGGATCCTCGGAAACTTCCAAGAAGCCATACAATACCATAGAAAACATCTTTTTATTGCCAAAGAAATGGGAAATGAAGCTGGAGAAAAAGAGGCTTATGGTAATCTCGGCAATACATTTCAAAGTCTCGGAAACTTCCAAGAAGCGATCAAGTACCACAAGAAACGTTTATCCATAGCGAAAAAATTAGGCGATAAGCTCGGAGAAGGACGAGGCTATATGAACCTCGGTAATACCTACATTAGCCTCGGAAAGCTTGAAGAGGCGAAAGAGAACTATGAAAAGCGTCAGACAATTGCCATCGAAGTAAGTGACAAGGCCGGAGAAGGGCGAGCCCTGGGTTCCCTAGGTAACGTAGAACAAGAGCTCGGAGACTTTAACAAAGCCCTCAATTACCACAACCAGCACTTGGCAATTGCGAAAGCCACCTGCGACAAATACAGTGAAGGGCGGAGCTACTGCAATCTCGGCGAAACTTACAAAGGCCTTCAAAATTTTGAAGAAGCCTTCAGCTGTCACAAGAAAGCATTATCTATAGCCAGAGAGACTGGTGACAAGGAGCTAGAAGGAGTGACCTATGCTAACATTGGCGAAATACATCAGTCGCTTAAAGAATTTAAAGAAGCTTCGGAAAGTTATCAGTCAAGTGTAAACCTTTTGAATATCCTTAGGGCTAATGTTCAGGCTGAAGACGTGTGGAAAATAACTTTTCGAGAGCTCTACCGTAAATGTTACCAAGGTTTATGGAGAATGCTTTTAAAACTCGAGAAGATCGAGGAGGCTTTGTATGCTGCTGAGGAAGGTCGTGCTCAGGCTTTGGTCGATGACTTGAAAATACACTATGGCTTAACAGGACCACCTGTAGAAGAATCAAAGGAAACAATTTCTGACCTGTTAAAGGAGTGTGCTACGCAAATGGTGTTTATTGGACTCGAACGGAAGAAGATCAACTTTTGGGTCCTCGGCAAGGGAGGTTCAGTAGAGCTCAGAACAAAAGAAATAGAGGGTGGACGTGAGGGCAAAGACTTTGTAACCGAGTTGGTTGAAACTACTTTGAATAACATCGGAGCTGGTGTTGGTGTGAGATACGAGAATCGCTCACTAGATGCGCTAGATGATGATTCCTCCCCTTATAGAAACGGAGATAAACCGCAAGCGGAGTCGTTAGACTGTACTGTAGGATCTCTACAGCCGTTATATGACGCTATCATAGTTCCCATTGCAGATTTATGTCACAGTAACGAATTGATCATTGTGCCAGAAGGTCCGCTGGGCCTTGCTCCATTGCCTGCACTTAGTGGGTCTATAAGAATTCGCACCATTCCCTCGTTGACAAGTTTAAAACTGATAATAGCTTCCCCCGACGACTGCCACAGTAAATCTGGGGCGTTGCTGGTTGGAAATCCCTGTTTGGAGATGGTTACTAAATGTGGTAAACCCGTGTTTAAAAAGCTCGAGAACGCTGAAAAGGAAGTAAAGAAGATTGGAGGGATTTTAAAAGTCCAGCCTCTAACAGGAAAAGAAGCAACCAAACAGGCAGTGCTGGATCGAATCACTTCTGTTGCACTGGTGCACATAGCTGCTCACGGAAAAAAAGAAACAGGCGAAATTGCTCTGGCTCCGAATGCAGGATGGGAAGAAGGTCAAGAACCAAGATCAAAGAAAAAGGCTCCCAAAGAAGAAGATTATATTTTGAAAGTGTCAGATGTCCAAGCAGTGCGTCTACATGCAAGGCTTGTTGTGCTTAGTTGCTGCCATAGCGGTCGAGGAGAGGTAATGTCTGAAGGCGTGGTTGGTATTGCTCGGGCTTTCTTGGCGGCTGGTGCTCGGTCCGTTCTGGTTTCGCTCTGGGCGATTAATGACGAAGCTACCATGGAGTTTATGACAAGTTTCTATCAATACTTAGCAGATGGAAAAAGCGCTAGTGTTGCTCTACACCAGGCTATGAAGTCTCTTCGGGATTCAGAAAAGTTCTCTGCCATCAAGTTCTGGGCTCCATTTATCCTTATTGGTGACGACGTCACTCTTGATATTGGAAAAGAATGACAACAGAATGGTAAGTATAACTTTATTTGACATTTTTTTAGATACACACTATGTCTTAAGCCTGGACCTCAAACGCCGCCGAAGTACTTGCAAGGTAGCTTCCGGTACTGCTTGCGATACTACTCCGACACATGAAGTGATAGTGCCACCGGCAACGAGAAACATCGCAGGTTCGAATTCCCCGCCGGCATGCCTGAGAAGTTAATCTCGAGTTGACTTCGCAGGCGTGCTGGCAAAAAAGACTTTTAATTATAAACTGAGAAGACTTGGAAATCTTTGCTCGTGAAAGATGGCACTAATGAATTTTCCGTAAGACCTTAGGCGATATAAATCGAAAAGACTTGGTAATCTCTTGAAAATAGGAAGTAAGGACAGAGAACTGGGGGAAGACAAGACTATCTTCAGGTGTAGATGTATTATAATTCCAGAACAGTGTATAAGTTTGCCCTGGAAGAACTATATGTCTTTGCTGGAGGAACACGACACATTTGTCTCTTCGAATTGAATTGGCTTTTTGGGTGTACTTAATTTTCTCAAAAGTTTTTCCTCAAAATATCATGTTGAAATACACCAAAGACACCCTGCATTTATTTACCATGCCAGCGTAAAAATAGACAACCAATCACACGGTAAAGCTTTGATTTGACTTTCTTTACAGAGGATGGATGATCAGGAGGAGACTCGAGACTTGCCAAAGGGGAGAACTTAAAGAAGCAATCCAGATAGACATTCAGTTACAGGCACTGATATATTACTGGACAATTTGCTTGATATGTGCTTTAATTGTTTCATTTAAAATGACTGTGCTTTGACTGGAAGTATTCTTATTTGATTTAAAAAAAAAAAAACATCTCTTCGAATGTTTATTGCATTTAAAACAATCGTAAGAATTATTTTTTTCTGCAGCAGCTAGTTTTTATGACGATCCAGAATTTCTTGATTGACACTTTTACTGGTGGCCTATAGGGATAATGGAGAATAATACAGCATAAACAAGCATTTTGAACAAGACTACTATCATTTCGTAGTTTTAATGAACTTTTTTGGTAGATCATTACTATAAATGATGAGTACAATGTTAAAGTACTAGGTAGGTAAGACGACACCCAACGCGAAAACTTTTCTGGCATTTACCATAGGATCGGTTGATTATTAGACTGCGTTTGCAAAAACTTTGAAGAAGAGAGAGGAACAATGAAACAATTACTCGGGTGTATATGCACGTTCCTTTATAATTTGTTAACCCAATTGTAACACCCTTTTCAAAAAAGCCTTATTTCAGTCTGTGCAATCTCAATATTTGTCTCTGTAAATCTGTGACACTTGACTTAATTAATTTTAGCAAAAACTGCGATTTCTCCAATTTTTCGCAAGTTTTGGAGAAATCGCAGAAATTGCAGTTTTTTCTGGGCACCCTTGTACCTACTCCAACACTTGTCTTAACTTATTTTAGCAAAACTGCGATATCTCCAATTTTTCGCAATTTTAGGAGAAATCGCAGAAATCAGGCAAACATCCCAGTTTTTGCTGGGCACCCTTCTACCTCCTTTACCACTTGAATTTAGTAATTTTAGCAAAAAACTGCAATTTCTCCAATTTTTCGCAATTTTTGCTACTGCGTGCAAACTTGGACATATCTTGCGTCAAAGCAGGTGGTTTTCCGGGCCAATAACTTGTACACTGGCCATAGCATCTTCACAGCAGACTTGAGATTGTAGGATTACAGGCTCTCACTTTTTCCGGTGTTCGTTTAGCCTAGTGCCTACAATACTCTCTTTGCCGTTTCACCGATGTACGTACTCCTAGACTGCATGAGATTGGTATCTACTCTGCATTACTATCCTTACATTTGATTTTGTAATTAACCCCCTCATTTCTCCTCAAACGCGATCACATCTTTTGTCTCGATTCGCGAGGCCATAAACATTCATACCCTGCGACCGGCAATGAACCATGATCAGGGCTACCACCTTCCCCCAATTTATGGAACAATTTTGCAGCCTCATTAAAACAAGGCTGGAAATAACAGCAGACGTCACTGATGATGGGTCCGGGTGCTGCCCAATTTTCAAAAAATTGTTGATGATGAGGGGGATTATTTCTTTGCAACAAAAAGTTTACTTTGTTCTTTTTTAAAGTCTTGTGTCTAAAAATTCTGCATCGTGACGATAGATACCAATCTCCTCTTGGCCGTCTTCGAAAGCAGGGTTACACAGCTCCACTGGGCAAGAGGAAAAATCATTTCCGGGAGAAACACCATGCAATGCATCTACGAATTGCAAACTAACTGGCTGTATGCGTCTGTTTTGGATCCCGAACTCTCTCCGGTTGCTTTCTCGCCTGTCAATCAAAGTAGGCATTACAAGCCGGTTGGGTGTCTGTTGCTGTAAATGAGGATTGCCATTTGCATTATTCCCGCTGTCATACAATGGCCCCCTTTTATCGCACCATCCCAGTAAAATCTTGTGGAACGTTTGCCGAAATTCGCGGTTGCGGAGGCCATAAACGATGGGATTACACACCGAGTTTCCGTACTGAAGCCATTTAATTATCCGTACTACGAGCGTCAGTGGTTTTTTGGTTGGTACTTCACACCCGATGCTTGAGGACGAACAAAGTCCGAACGCAAAGTTGATGCCAAAAAACGGCGTCCAACAAATGAGAAAAAGACCTGTCACTACTGCCACCGTTGTAGCAATACGCAAATCCTGAAACCAAAACACAGCCAACATTAAATCTTTATTGTTCTAATGGTACCTTTTAACATGTAAACAACTGGGAGGTGGGGGGAGGGGGAGGGAAGAAAATGCGCAGCATAGTTACAAGAGACTAGGATTTTTTAAAGGGGAGGTGCCGTCTTGAACCCCTAGAGATGTGGCTTAACTTTCCTGGGGGGAGGGGGAGGGGTTAGTAGAGTGTTCGGGGCCCCCAGTAGCTAGCTAAACGGTACTGCGGTTACTCTGGCCTTCCGACAATTAAAAGGCTAATAAAGTAATATACACAAATTTTTAGACCAACAGTCCTATACTCCTTTTGACAGTGGTGTCGGGGTATTTTACGTCCCCTTACTTTGCAGTAACACCACTACATTTAGTTTTGAAAACCTGACGTCATTTCTTTGGTTTGTACACCTTAGACGATGGAAACGATGGACAGTTGTTGTCGCTTTATTAAACGTAATCTTTTTAAATTTGTAATTTAAATGAATTTGAGTTAACATCTTGTACATTTAAACAGTTTTTACAATTATAAGTATTTAGCATTTTTTTTTAAGTCTATGAGATCCTTTTTGAAAACCATATTTTATATGAAAAAGTTATCTCAATTAACAATTATTCCACGAGGGCGCGTTCAGTGGCGGATCCAGACCTTCAGCTAAGGGGAGGGGCGGGGGGGGGGGGGGCTTATTGTTTGGAGAAGCTGGTGCGAGATTCTGTGATGTTGCTGTTAAGTGGTGTTACGTGTTCTTATAATATTAAATAAAAAATAAATAATAAAAATAAGTGCGCTGGTTGAGGTGGCGTGGGGGGGGGGGGGCGGGGGGGGGGGGGGGGGGGGGGGGGGGGGGGGGGGGGGGGGGGGGGGGGGGGGTCATCCAGACCCTGAGAAAAGGGGTGGGGCCAGTCTCAAAAAAAAAATTGTTCGGGCCTATTCGGGCCCCAGTTTGGTCTACAAGTAAGGGAGGCCCCTCCCCTGGGTCTGCCACTGGCGTTGGATATGAGATGGTAGGTAGCCAATGATGGCTATAATCATCTCATATATAATCATCTCATAACCAACAAGCGCGAGTGGAATAATTTTGTTTTATTAAAAACGCCTACAAAATCTCGATAAACCTCCCCGACTTTATTTTGTTAGAACAAGCCGGAAAAGACAAGGGACTTCCACTTTTCACGTGTCACACGTCTATCAACACTCTCAACGCGCGAACGAACTGGATGAATTATCATGAATGAAAAATCAATACGTCATTAGCTTGAACAATTTTAAAAATTCATCGGGATTCTAGGATTTTACACAGCATGGTAGCTAAAAAACTCCCAGGTAATGAGAACTCAGGTAAATTAAGGCATGGGCCTCAATTTGCCTCAATTTGCTCACTTCAAAAGTGAGGGGGTGATCTACATCTAAGAGCTTTAGATGTAGACACATAAAACTTTGCCAGCTGCTCTCATTTTTAGTTTGTGCCGATTTCGTGCTTTAAAATTATGCAAATTAGGTCACGTGACCTCCATCGGCTGAAAAAGATTGTTCTTGAAACGCAACACTTTTTCGTATGTCCTCAACTTTTTTACCGGTTGTATAATGTTAAGGCCGTTTAATAAATCACTTCTGTGCTTGACCTTTTTTAGATATTTAAAAGCGAAGGCGTTAAGATCTGATAAAAATGCCTTGGAGGAATGGGTCTAGTTGAAAAAACCGTATATTTTCTAAAACAGTAAAAAATTCAAAAGAGGCCAAGGCCAGTCCGGTTTAATAACTCACAACCATTGTTTTTGCCATTGTTTTCTGACCGTGTGGAGTCACGTGACAACATTTGCATAATTGAAAAACACCAGAACAGAAAACACACATGTATGTATCTGGCAAAGTCTCATCTTTCTTGTGCTTAAGTGCTCAGAGATAGAGCACCCCTCATCACTTTTTCACTAAATCATTTGGGGCCCATGCCTTCATTTACCTGCGAACAAAAAGAATTTTTAAGTGCAGCCGTCGAAATTACTGTGAATTTGGATTTTTGGTGCAGTTACAAAAGTAAGAACGATGGAGGAAAACTATTCCCTCGGTTGCCATTTAGAAACTCATGTAAAGCTTGTTATGAAGTTGTTTGAAGCCGCCAGCTGGTTTTGCTTAACGAGAGAAGAAGCTATACTGACGCCTGATTGCTGTAGTGAATGGCTGCATAGCTTGTTAGTTGCTTGTGATTTATATTCTTTATGTCGGATGATCAGGCTGCAGTTATCTATCGGCGAGTGGCTTCGCGGTCATGGAGAAACAATACTTGTCTTCTTTCGTAGCTGGTCGAGGTATTTTAGTTTCTTGTCTTTTCATGTGTTTTTCGATAAACTTTCAAACAAACTCTTGTGGCTTTTTTATTTGTTTGTTTTTTTCCCATATGAAATTGCATTTTCGAGTATTTCTAAGAATTAAAACGATTCAATTTTCTTCAGGCGCCATTCTATCCTTCGCAAAAAAAAAAGTCTCAGCTTTGAACTGACGCGTACACTGACTATATATGGAGATCATGGTATAATGGCTCATGTGACATGATGGCTAAGCCAATCAAAACGCTCGAATTGCATTAACAAATGATTCAGTTTTTAATAATAAAGGTTATTATTATTCTTTTTAAAAAATATGTTGGAAAATATTGTGTATTTGGTAACGAAAATAAACCAAGTGTTAGGTAATGTTCGATGAAACGTTTGAACTCGTTTAACACGGTCTAGCATCATCTAGCACCCAACACCGCTCAACAAGGTTTTCAAAAGGATCTCAAACGTTACAGCCAGCAATGCTGGCTATTGAACCAACATTGACAATCCATTTTAACCGGCTTGAACATTGGTACCTTTTTGAAGGAACTCACGCCTCTGCCACGAGCATGCGCTCTAGCTATGCGAAAAATCTTGCCATAAACTGCCAAAATAACGATAAGTGGAGCGAAGACGAATGTCACGGTTATTATCAAACCTGTCACACCAGTCTGTACAGGAATCGCTACCATCGATCCAGCGAATGAGGCTAGAACCCATACACCGAAGATTACGGCTAACAACGACCCTGTAAGCGACAAAAAGAAATGCAGCATAATTTGATTCAGTTCAAAACGCACGTTTTCATGTTTTAATAGGTATCAACTGTTAATAACGGTGGGCTAAGGCGAACATGTGGGCCCTTTTATTTTTCTTTCTGGAAATTGCTAACGATCTCATGTTTCAAGTCTTTTGCATGACCGATTCCGATTGCAATAAAGCACTCGTAACCGTTTCACTGCCTTACTGTCTGGGTTTTGGCCCCGTAGACACACAAATGCGTTTTCAAAAGTATGCATTTTCGTTGTCATCGAAAACGAATCGATCGAGTCGCGTCCACACTACCGTTCTGATGCTTTTTCATCTGTCCACAATAAAACTTTCGAAAACGATACAATTGCACGTTGTCACGTAAGTTGAACTCTGTGTGCATGCTACAAACACACGCGCCTGCGATATTTTCGGACATTGTTTTAACCTTAATGCGTTTTTAGTCCGGCGGCTTAGCTCCAAAGTTCAGGTGAATTGTGCACTTTTTGATACAAGCATGAAATTTGGCACACCCATAGAAGTCCGCCAATACAAAAATTTTCAGATATAGTGCCAAGCCCAAAATAGGTCGTTTTCCATAGAAACCACAATTAATTAAAATTTATGACAGTTGTTGCTTGTCCTAGTTTATCCTGAAATACTATCATTTTAGTCATTGGTATTAATCTGTTTTGCACGGACGTCTTCTTTATTACATGCCACTTAACAATATGTTTTCATGGCAACAGGAAAATAAAAATTAAAGAGGCTATATCACACCATCTACTTTCTTTTTGAAAAAAACCTACAATGTGTCTTCGTTGCAATTGAATTCTAACAATAATGGCCTAGTTTCGTCGGTTGCTAGGATCTGAAGCAAAACATGGAAACGTTGGTCCAACATTGTCAAGTTTTAATGCCGTGCCTGCTAAAATCACCAAAAAATATACAATGGTTTCTGCTCCTTGATGCTTTCTTTTCCCTAACTCTACTGGAGCATTGTTTTGTATGGGTAAAGGCACTAAGCTTCAGCAAAGAATTGGCACAAAACAACAATCTCCTCATGACAATAGCCCTTTTAGTTGCTTTGAATATTTAATATCATACAAATTAGTCACGAATGCATTGTCCATCACATATACAAAGCGGAGTATATGGAAGGGCTGCCTTTACACAATCATTTGCATATTCTGCTGCAACTCTTTTTACAACCACAATGGACCAGTTCTTTGCAGATGACAGCCGCTGCTAGTTAAGCGTAACCCATTGTGGTTGCAGCTGCTCTTTTCGTCCAAGGGTCCAGCCCCAATTTGGTGGTTCAGGAAGAACAGGCTTGCTGGCGGTTGCCCGTCCCCACATGTGTCCTCCTCCTTGATATACGGCGCGCCTCACATGTTGTTCCAGAGCGTCACGACTGGGTGGGAGGCCTTCCAACCCTCTCCCTTTTTCTTGGCGAACAAGTACTTTTGGGCATCATTGACCTGGAACAAATACCAAATAGTAACTATAAATAAATGCAAACATTACACGATCACAATTTCTCAAGAAGAAACCGATTGTTTTCTAAATTAACACCCACCTTGCTGAAGTGGCTAGTCCTGTCGCAAATCAGAATGACGAATCGTTTTATTGTGCACAGATTCTCCTCAGAAATATTAGAGGGGGTCCCTGTCAGGTCCAGAAATGTCCTTGTAACATCTGGAAAGTTCTCCCAGCGAAGAAGGATGTTGTGTCGCACCCTGTAAGGGCATGGAAGATGGGGAGATACTTTGACTTAGACGGACCAAGAGCCTTTGCAAAGAGGTGTACCAGTAGGATCCTGTGGTTTTTTCTGGTTCCATAGGATACCATAATTCCTTTAGGTCTAAAGTAGCAACAACTAACACTACCACGTCAGTGTCTGTTGATCGAGTCATGACTGACTGGTATATAAACCATCATTCTGGTGTCTACTTGTTCATGCAAACAGGGTGACAATTTATTCCTTCTTGTCGTAGGTGGAGAGCAGAGTACCTCTTCTCCTCGTGTAACTATGATTTGCTCGCCCTTGATCGCTGTTCTCACGACCTGCTCTGACACGAACAGGAACAGCTCCTTCTTGTTGTTATCTAAACGTAAGAATTCTTGCCAATTTCGGAGTACCATAGCAGAAGGAAAAACTCTTCCTTCTGGCGCCAGTGCCTCTCTTCTGCCTTGCGTTGGCTTTTAAACTGTTAGGGATATATTCATCCCACACCAAATCCAGCCTTTGTACATTTTCAATTGACTGTTTGATTTAGGCCAGAAAGACCTTCCTCGCTGTATTCCATGAACAGAATTGTGGCAGAATGCAAGTCCAATACAACAACCGATGAGTGTTTCTCTCATGTGCCCACCAATTTATCCATGCACTGTATTAGGTCACAATTGCTACCTGACCTAATTCTCTCACAGTCCGATAATGAAAGAGAAGAGCCTTGATCATCATGAGAAAGAAAATCATCGAGGTCGCCATCTCGACTTCGACATCCGATGTATAGCTTCGAAAACAGCAGTTTCTACAGATTTTAGCTTCATTTTCTCTTTTGATGTTGAAATCTTAGACCCTGGTTTCCACAAACGAAGATTATTTCTTGAAATGCTGTCGTCGATTGGCTTAGATCTCTCCGTAAGCCTACCTTTCTTTGATGAAGAGTTCATACTGCCCCTTTCCAATTGACTCAATATTGTTCAAAGTAGCTTTGCTGGATCAGCTATATGTCTTTCGATACAAGTGAGATCAGGTCTTCAAATGGGTTGCCAAGCTCTTTTCTTTAGTAGATACCAGAGATTGAACATGACTTATGAAACCCCCTTGACAAGCTCTGGATTGCTCATGGTAAGCTGTTCAAGTCTGGTCGGTGTTGTCCTCCTTTAATGTACTCTCAAACTCTTTTACCACCCTTGCAAGCTCCGGTCCAGCCACCATCCATCTTAAAAGTGCACCAGGAGTCTCAGTGATTCCAATACCCCCCCGCCGTCCCCCTTGATTAACTCATTATTCTGTTCATGAGCCTGGTCTAGTGGTATAGAAGAAAAAGTGTTGGTCATCTTCTGCACTGTAAATTTTCCACCACTTGTCGAGAACTCCTTGTAGACTTGCGGGTGTTTATTTGGTAGTTCTACCATGTCCCTAATATGAACAGGTAGCCATCGCGAATAATTAGTGCGATCTAGAGCGAACGTCCAAGGGGTAATTTCCGTCAAAGCAGCTGTATACTGTCTGAAGTCCGATTGTCGAAAGGAGCGCACGAGAATGAGAATAAGTAACTCAAACGTGAGGTTCATATTCCAGAATTGGAACTGTGGGATCTTGCTAGCATGATCTTTGCACCATTTGGGGAATGGAGGAGCGTTCTCCTTGGATTTTGCGTAGTAATTCTTGTAGGGCCTCTGTTGAGGATGCCGTAACTTGATGGACGTATCTTGTACGTGTAATGTGCGTAGAAGTTACTAATGACTCAGCCCTTCCACTGGTGGTTATCCCGACTTGAGCAATAGCCTCTGTCCATCCACTTCCCAACAGCCATGATCCTATTGCTTTGAGAACGGCTAACTCTATGAGAAGTCCACCAATCATATCTACCAGCTTATTTTCTGCCATGGTGTCTTGATATCTCTATGGTATTTCCTTAGCTAAACCAAATATGGGTTGATCGAATGCTATAACTGCGTTTTGCCCTTGGTTGAGGTGTTCAACAGCTTTCATAGCAACAGTTATGCCATGCTTGATCATGGCTATAGAGTGAGCAGCTTCTGCAAGAAGAGGCAGCAACGAACTCTGGCATCGTGCCGGTTGTCGCGTTTCTGTCGTTCTCCGTGGTAAGCAGACCATGATACTCCATTTCCAGCTTGCTTGGCAACAGTGGGTTGCATATCCTCTTTGTCTCTCTTCTACATTCTGCCTCATATGGTTGAGCCATTCAGTCTCTTTCATAAGCGATAATGCTTCATCATCACCCTTCACATTACACTGCATACTTGGCATTCTTAAAACCACCTTGTTTAATTTTTGACATGACCAAGGAGGTATATATGTTGGTGTAGCTGGATGGCAGTGGTCCTGTAGTCTTTGATGCAGACACATTTCTTTGCTTAAAGCTTGCGTTTTCCACACCTTTCCCTTCCACGGTTAAGGGTGCTGTATTAGTGAAATGCTGGTGACATGAAATGAACTTACTGCCTTTGTCGACGAACTGTTGGGGTGGAGATTATCAACCGCGGCTGTAGTGAATACGTTTGTTTTCAAGTTTGGAGGGCATACCGTGTCCGTCTCCTTGAAGTGTTCATAAACAGCGTTTGCCATATCTGACGACAATCTTAGCAATCTTAGCACTTCGAACTTCACATGCCAGGTGAATGTAGTCTGTCTATAAGATCCCTCTTGCGTGTTTTCATATGAAGCATCACACCGATGTGAACTGGTAATGGAGTCTCTTAACTTTTGACAAGCCGAGTACATTCTTCTGTTTTACGGGTGTGCTTCACGCTATTGAATTTAAGAAGCTGAGTAATGTTAATGCAGCCTGACTTGGCTTCCCAGTTGACTGACATTTAGTTTTGGCCCCTCTTTCTGGCAAATAATACATTTTAACCTGTCAATAGTTTGATGTTACTGCTTGATTTCCACGTCTTCTCGTCAACCCATTTTCTTTTGTTCTCCGATCAAACCGGCCTGAATAATATTCTCTAGCTGCATGCAGCGATCGAGGCGCATGTCCCAAATTCAGAGTGAAAACCAAGAGAAAGTTGAGAAAAAGCACGTGCAGATAAATTCCAAATTACGGCCTTATTCAAATAATTAATTTTCCGAGAAAATTAAAATTATTAGTATAAAAAAGAAGAGAAGATAATAACAATTTGACTCCAAATTTAAGCAATTGTATATGTATTTTGAAAGGAAACGTGTATTAAATCACAAAAAACAGCAAGAAATGTACTTCGAGGGGGCCTCGCGTCTGAAAATTTTACTAGCTGCTAACTAGCTGAAATTAGAAAATTTCACTTGGCTCTATATCTGGATATGACTAGTATGAGAATGTATATGTTCCTACAAATTTTGGTGCTTGTATCAAAAATCGCAAACTTTCCAAGCTAAGCCACCGTCCACACTAATACGATGTGTATGCATTTTTGTTTTGATCCATTTTTAAGAGCGTTTTCAAATCGATGCGTTTTCTATGAAACCTCTTAGTGTATTAGTGTGGATGGAGAGGCCTAAACGCATCCAAATGTTTTGCGTTTCAAAACGAAAACGCAGTAGTGTGGACGGGGCCAAAGTGCATGGTCATCAAGAAGAAGAAGAAGAAATGGTGTTTAAAATCAAGGAGGAAAACCTTTGAGGGTATTGGCACCAACATCTGTAGCCTCGGCTCTGCAATTTCAGTAAGAAATAATTGAAAATAATATATTTTGCACAACATACGTTTGCTGATGTTGCGATGCTTTATGGGATAAAGCAGAGCGTAACATCTTTCCAAGCTTATGGCTGTGAGATTAAGAACCGAAGACACTTCACAGATGATGTCAAAGATCATATGAACGGTGCGTAATTGATAGCCGTTTGTTACTGATACATAAACATACAGCGGCACAGAAATTGTTCCGATCAGTATGTCAGCGGTTGCTAATGATATCAATAACATATTACTTGCTGTGCGAAGTCGTCGGTTGACTTGAAATGCACCAATCACCAGCGAGTTTCCAAACACAATCATCAAAGCAAGGATGCAAAAGGCGACAACAAAGGCGATATCATCTTGGTACGATCGGACAGAAAGTTGGGGTATACGTTCAATTCCAGTTGTAGCATTTGAAGTATTTGTTGAGTTCGCGAATGTAGTGAAAAATTTGTTGCTATCCATTGGTGGCCGGTTGGTCTACGAGACAAAATATAAAATTGACAGCAATTCTAACATAGACCCATCGCAACAAAAAAAACATGGACCCTTCACACAAGTTATTTCTCATTTATTTTGGAATTTTTTTAGCTTATGAGCCAGTCTTAATTGGCACTCGACAAATTTCCCGATTTGGCAAACATCAAAAAATGTCGGCAATTTTGTCATAATTTTTAGCTAAGGCAAATGAATGCTGCAACGGTTTTATTGGAGTATACTTTTCTCAGCTTGCAGAAAATGGGGTGCAGTGCAGATGGACTCAAATTATCACTTTTTTTAACCCTGCTTCCTTATTGTGGACGTACAGGCGCGGGCTCGGTTTCGTGGAAAGAACTCTTTCATCTCGTTTTCATGATACGCGGTCAAATTGATTGGTCTCATTTCGTTTTTAAGGTGATTCAGCAAGGTTAAAAAGAGGTAAAAACAAAAGCAGAAGGTCCATTATATATTGAGGTCCTGATTGAGGTTAGCTATCTTCAAAAACTCATTAATATTCAGAAGGCATATTATTGGGACGTAAATCGTACGAAAGACCAAGAAAGACTGCCATTTCGGTAAAAACTTACGATTGCTTTAAGGTGTTTCGATACAGTTTTTCAGAGGCCATACCGATATTTTGTGATTTTTTCCTTGTCCGATCGCTATAAAATTTTCACCAGTAATTAGCTGCGTGTGGATTGAAATTTGTGAAAATGTAGTTTTAAGTAGAATCGATATTACTATGACAACAATAAAGCCGAATTTTGTGGGATCTAGACCAGCTACTGGAAATCCAACACTTGGAACTTAAAGTTTGGTGTTTAGCAAACAATCTCCGTAAGAAGCAAAAAATTCTGTATGTTTGAATTCGACTAAAACGAAAATATATTTCAAAACTTAAATTTTCAATAGCCCTGATAGACTATTTAATGAAAGCGTTATGCAAATGACTCAAATTATTCTTAAGCAGCGTCAGAATGCTGCTTAATATCATATTTCGATGCAGGAAATTTTCGTGTATTTTCGTCATCGCGATCTTGAAAACTAACCCGTTTCCTCGCCATCTGTATAAGTGCAACTTCATTGAAAATTTTGACTTTTAGCGCTTTTTTGTATGTCTCTGAAACGACTACAACGATTCTTTTTAAAATCTCTTTACATAATCTTCATAATGTATATAACAAGGTCTAACACTTTCATAGAGATTGATTTACTGCAACATCTTAAAGTTTCAAGACAAACCTATCCTACGAACCTGTTAAAAATCTGCGTCACAACATTCACTGTTTTGACGTTATGCTCAAATTTCCAACATAATGCGCACCATACATACCTTCATGACTAGTACATTTTAGTTTGAATTTATCGCATCTTGTGAATGTAAAACATTAACAATACTTACTAACAGGAACATATCTTTAATTCCTTATTTAAGTATACTTTATCACATAGTTGTTGCCTAGTAAAAAAAATCAACAACAAAACAAAAGAAAATATGACAAAATTGCGCACATTTTAAAATTGGGAACACGTCCGCAGATAACAGCATCATTTTTCTGTTTTATTATTTTTATTTGTTCTATTAGGGTTGACGGCATTATCTGGTTAGTTAACAAAGTGCCTTAATATCGCGCAAAATTTAGGTATTCACTTCTATTTTGACTGAAGTTCGCAGTTTATGAAAAAAAAAAAAACAGAAAAATGCTGCTTTTATCTGCGGACGTGTTCCCAATTTTAAAATGGGCGCAATTTTGTCATATTTATATATATTTCATTTTGTTTTGTTGAGATCCGATTTACAGTACAGTCAATAATACAAGTAAAGATGGAAGTCGTAATTGTGTAATTGATTCCGTATTATTATGCAGTTCTCAGACAAGGCAGCCTTGTTGATCGTTGCTGGTGTTTCTCACAAGGTTGTGATATCGACAAGATTCTCTATCACGAAATTAAAAAATTCAGCATAGAATTTGTAAGTTCTGCATTGTCAGATGAATTGTCACCTGTCTTAAGAGCGGTTTCATATTTTAATAAAACGTTGTTGCAGAGCTGTCTGTCATTGATGCAATTCAGGGAGGAGGGGCCATCTCTATTGTTTTCATGTGTTTGTCTGCTGACAGATTGATAACACAATAAGCCCAAAGAGTGATCAGCGTCAATTTTCTCCTTTTAGTATCTATACTTTATAGAACAGTTGTTTCTAATTATATTTCCTCCTGGGCATTACAGTCGTCCCTAGAGAAATCGAAGACGAAGGTTACGCAAAATTTTGGGGGGTAAACAAGGTGAATTATGGTCTATGTGAAAATGGCGAATTGAAAAAAAATTCCCGTCCAGAGAAGAACGCATACAGCTATTTCGAGAAAGGTTGTCGGTAAAAGTGCACGCGACAATCCCGTAAGGTATTGTGGGTGATTTTAAGTTTGCTGTTTTTCAAAGGAATTTGAAAGGATGACACGATAGGCCATGGACATATGTTTGCGAGTGCTAAAGGAAAGCAACAAAAGTAAGTTCGACAGCTACAGTGTCAGGAACAGTATTTTGATCATATCCCATATTACCTTTCGGGATTGTCGCGCGCACATATTTTCCGACAACCTTTCTCAAAATAGCTGTAATATAAAGCACTTGAGCCCCACACAGGACAATTACAAGTGGTCATCCATCCTCGGAGACCCAGGGGCAGTCAGTCGGGTCGGGAGAAAGGGCGCGACGAAAGTTTTCATGTACGGGCGAAAGAGCCCCTGAGTACCGACTCTCACCGAACTATTTCCAAAAATTCAAGCGGATGCCGGTTCCTGATTGGGCACAAAAAATTCTTTGTATTTTTGTGCCCAATCGGCGAACAGTTTTTCCTGAGTTCTTTTCGTGAGTTCATACACGACGGCTATTGTTTCAATCGCGGGTTGTCCCCATCAAAATACTGTCTGCCCGAAAGATAAAGACGCTTTTCCAAAAATACAAGCTTGAGCTTACAACAGGTATTCACGCATGCATCGGTCACGTCTTGCGTATATATTCGGGAATTTTTAAAAGATACAACGACGGCTGACAACCACGAAACCGTCGCACGGAAAAGGGAATTCACATTTTTTTAGTTTCTATCTATTTCTATTTGTCAAGGCAAGCGAACTCTTCTGGAGATGAATTTCTATCAACATTTTCAAGTTCATGAAGAGAATGAATTTTGTCATTGCTTGTTTACGTCCTTCACAAAACATGAAATTAGGCATTTTCACGGGTAGTCGTGCAGTTGACGGCAAAGAAATGTACAAAAAAGTGTGATGCACGTGCAAAGTTGTTGTTTTGCCGTGTCAAGCTATTGCTTATTTGACTTTCTCGTCGCCTACGCATCTTTAACTTGCTATTATTTACGATACATTGCGATGAGTCAAAAACAGAATATTCCCGGGGCAAATTGAATTGCTCCTGCTGATANAGCTTGCCTCCGGTTTTATTTGGTGGAGGTGGTTGGGGGGGGGCGGACCCCGGGGCTCCCGTCGCCGTGTATGGAAACCCTTCCGGCCCCCCTCTCCCCCCGCCGCGGTGGGCGGCCGGTGGGGCGCGGGGGGTGGGGGCACCCGAGGGCGGGAGAAGGGGGGGGGGGGGGGTTGCGGTGATTCAAAAAAACTTTTTTACGCTCCTCCGGCCTCAGTTTTTGTCAAAAAATAAGGGGGTGCCAGGGCCTCTCCCCTAGATCCGCCACTGTCTCATTGACTACGGACAATCACAAATGGTATGCTCGCAGCAATAACTGCTTAGGGTCCTTAATGTTAACGGAATTCTTTAGGGGTGCATGAGCAGTTTGTAGTGCTTGTCTGTCACACACCCGCGCTTCCTTGTTCAAACAATGTATTAAATTCCTCGGATCCCCTTGTCCCAGGGATTTGTCCCTTTCTGAGAACCCACAGTCACATTTCTCGTTATACATATATATATTTCACAGTTCGGTGATTGCTATTAGCAGCTTCAGCACCCGCCATTTTATGTCTTCAAGGTAGGACACTTCAGCCACAACTCAGTCAATTAGCAAATTCGTTACAGTAAATTCCGACCTCTTATTCAAAATCTCAATAAGATGATCTCGTTTTTTATTTCAATTATATTAATTATTATTTCAGTTGCAGTTGTTGTCAAAATGGATGTTATTCAGGATCTGGGGTCTCTTTATTCTTTTCTTGAACGCGTCACTGGCGAGTCCGGACAGATAAATGTTTAATTGTACATTCAACTCTCTCATCGAGACTACTTTTCGTAAACCGTGATCACTTTGTCATGCACCAAGGGTTGTCGCTTACGAGAGAGTTGACCGTATTTATATCGGCCCTGATATCAATCCAGTACCCATTCTCTGGTTACGAGGCATTGCCGCGATATATAATAAAAGTGACCTGCGAGCAGAGGTTTCTTTCTGGCATTGCTTTAAGCTTTACGAAGTCCTTCGCGTGGTGTGTCGTTAGTCGCGTAGTAAAGAAATGGGAATGAATGGCTTTGCAGTTTCCTGGGAAACTATGATACATTATTGATAGGAAAGAGAAGCACTAAAGAGCTATAGAGTACCACCAGAAAAGTTTAACCTTTGCCACTGATGAAGGCAACCAAGCTGGACAGGGCAGAGCCTATTGTAATCTCGGAGCTGCTTATCAAAGCCTCGGCAATTACAAGAGAGCAGTGGAGTATCATGAGAAATACCTTTCTATTAGTAAGGAAACTGGAGATCGTGCCGCAGAGGGACGGGCTTTTGGGAACCTCGGCACTGATTGTCATTGTCTCGTAAAAGTCGAAGAGGCCTTGAACTATTACATGCAACGACTCTCTGTTGCCAAAGAGCTGAAGGACAAGGTTGAAGAAGGAAGCGCCTATTGCAATATTGGCAACGCGTATCAAGACTTCGGAAAATTTGAGGAAGCCATCAATAACCACCGAAAACACCAGTCAATTGCAAAAGAAATCGGCGACAGGAATCAGGAAGGAATCTCCAGTTG